GTTTCATTAAATAATATAGGCAAATTTTGTCTATTTATTTTCAGTAAGTTCCTTTCATATCGTCTGATAAGCTTAATCACATTATCATTGAAAGACGAAAGGAAAACACCATATTGATATATGTTTAAATCCAATCTAAGCTTTCGACTTACATAAGCCATTATGAAAGATGACAATTTCAATAAATCAAAAAACAACGGACGAAGCAACAGTGATAGTCCGCCCTTGATGCATGAAAATTTCAAGTAACGACAAACTCGTTTATACGAGACGAGGAAGCGAAAATCACCTCGCAGCTCGTAATGTCACATATGACCACACGAGAGAGAAAAACGAGAAATATTAAGTACGGGAAGCCGTTGGTGTAAACCAATGTCTTCTGTTGTAGGCATTTAATGTTATTTGTGGAGATGTCATAGTTTATTTTGTTCGGGTTAGGTTTCAACTGTTTTATGTATAAAGCTTCAAGAATTTAAAATTTTTGTTTATTGTTATCATGTTTACGTATAGTTGTTTGGACAACAAGGATTTTCCGGAATTGAGTACGCGGGCAGGCATGTTGTTTTAAATGTCTAAAAATGTTAGAATTATCATTTAAATGTAGAGTTAAGCGCCGTGAAATTTCTAAACAAAACATAGTTTACAAATTCAAGTGCCCTGGGGAGATTGTATCTCTAACAGATTAAATAATATTTATGTTGGTCACACCACAAACTCTCTTTCATTGCGCTTGACTCTACAATTAAATGATTATGATTATTACGTGGTAACACTTTCGAAAGTTGCCACACCCAGGGATCGCCACTTCCAGACGCAGTCCGATAACATCAAGAAGTTTAATTCCTGATAACTTATACTTGATGATAAGCCTTGTGCCTGACACTGGGTAGAAGTCACAATTCATCTTGACCGAGGATTTGAACCGTGTGGCCTTTGTTCAAACTTTTGATTACACTAGATAACGCACTCTCTCCCAGTAACAGTAACGAAGATCCAGCTGCAGATGCTGTATAAACTATATGTGGGCTGTGTGGGTGTTGAAAAAAAAAACACAAACGTGCCTGACAACAGGGATTAGCTGACCGCATCTGTAGACGGGCATCCCCGGATATGAGTGTCCTTCCATTACCGATGTATTTATATTTATCTCTGAATTATTGGGACGAGGATTTCTCATTATTAAATTATTTACAAGGGAGATATTGTGCTCATCTTTGCTGTTGTTAGCGAAACCCTCTGTCTGTTCTACAAATACTTTCATGGAAATTGCTCCGAGGAGCTGCATTCGCTGGTTCCCAGAGGTCATGAGTTCCAGCGCCTTACGAGGCTGGCATCCCGTTCGCACCCCTTCACTGTCAAAACTCCTAAATGTAGCCGTCTCTTCTACTCCAATAGCTTCATGTCTCGCACCTCTCGTGGAACTCCCTTCCCTATTCCTGTTTCCCTGTGAGCTATAATCTCCAGCTATTTAAGTGTAATGTCAAACGACATCTCCAGTTGCCTTGATCTATCCACTACCCTTCTCCTCATCCTTTCTTCTATCACTCCTATCTGATCTTTCTCTAAATTTTCTGTAACCCCTTGCGTTCTATGTTGCTTCCCGCCTTGCTTGGGGTGAAATGCTTAAAAAAAAAAATGCCCTACGGTCTTCATTAGGTTTATGCTGATCCGGGTGATGTATTTCTTGTCCGTTTTCCCTGATATCAAATACACACTGACCGGCCCACAGATTAATACCTCGAGTACTATCTCAACAGATTAAAGTATCAAACCTTTAATTCAATAGGTTCCTGTTCCTTGGAAAAAGGGGGTGAATAATAACTGAAAACTACTAAAAAAATAAGTAAGAGAAGTAATATCCGTGGATATTGGCAATCTAATTAGAACCAACTACATACGTATATTAAATAAAGAGTTCGATTTGAAAATCTCTGTAGGTTACCCGGTTCAATGTAAACCTGATGAAGGCCGGCGGCACAATGGCTGAAGTGTAGTGAATACAACAACAAATAACAACAAATGGAGAGTACAACAAATAATAACTCGATAAGATAAAACTAGATATGGGCATTTGAACGACAACCATCTAACACCGTAGATTAAATAATGTGTTTACTTCAGAATTCCTTGTACGTTACCCGGATCGAAAAACGACCAAAAATATGTCATAAGTAAAACAAGGATGAGGGCAGTAGAATAATCTATCTATCTATCTATCTATCTATCTATCTATCTATCTATCTATCGTAGTCTGTTTATATCTATTTCGTTCTGTTTATATCTATCTATGTATCTCGGTCTGTTTATATCTATCTATCTATCTATCTATCTATCTATCTATCTATCTATCTATCTATCGTAGTCAGTTTATATCTATTTCGGTCTGTTTATATCTATCTGTCTGTCTATCTATCTATCTATCTATCTATCAGTTGTATTATTCTTAAAGTATCTGCTATAAATGGTGCTGCTTTGTGATCAGAAGTTTAAGATGTATAGAAGGAAGTAAGACGTTATTTAAGCACGTATTTCTGTAGCATGAATTTCGTTTTATGCCAATATCCTAGGATACTAACTACATATATAGCTTCTCTCAAAACTTTGTTAGTTTAATTTTGAAACATTAGAATTGTTTTACTTTCAAGGGCTCAGAATCCGATACGTGGAGCTGACGCTCACCCCAAACCCCGAACTTATAACTCTCTTCACCGACCTTCGATCTATAGGAAGCAGGGTAGAAATTGGAGATATTATATTTCTTAAGGAAAGATGCGTCCTATAAGCAGCCAAATACGGTATTTATTATGTATAACTTAAAACAGTGAATAGATCCGTTCATACACACACACACACACACACACACACACACACACACACACACACACACACACACATATATATATATATATATATATATATATATATATATATATATATATATATATATATATATATATAAAATGATAAAAAGGCTTAAACACTAATAATCCAGGGTCATAATTTATTCCATTGGAATCGTAAATACGATCCAATTCATCAGACCTTCGAAAAAAACAGAAAAAACAAGTCCGGGAATAAAAAATGAAATTTAGTGATAGTGTATGTATGAGAGTGTGGGACGAATATTAGAGTAAATGAAAGCTATAAGGAGGGGTAACAGACGAGAGAAGAACAGGAAGGTTTAAAGTTGAAGAGGGATTAAAATTTAACAGAGAGAAGATTTAAAGACGGGAAGTCAAAGACATTGAGTTCTACCTGGATTCCATCCTCTTGGATTTATTTTTTATACAAATATATATCTATGTGTATGTATGTATTTATATATTTTAGATATATAATTGCATATGTATGTGTATATTTACCACTAATATTATCTATCTATCTATCTATCTATCTATCTATCTATCTATCTATATATATATATATATATATATATATATATAGCAAGGTTTAGTAAAGTGGATTTATGTTTCAGCCAATCTATTTGCTAACATTTATTTTGCGATAGGATCTTCTGTATCTCGTCTTTATTTATCTGCTTCCTTCTTCAGATTGCCATCTCATATCAAAATCGTTCTGAAGTCACGTATCTGATTGTTCTGTACATTAACCGTAAAATGGTGAGCGCGTGTTGAAATTCGTTTCCAAAGCCGTGTACATCATTGCCAAGTGATGGACCGTCCTTTCTGTAAAGGCTGTGCGTGCGGCCCGCCTGTAACCTGATTCTCTTGGTAATTTTCTCAACGTTTACTTGCAGTTTCTCGACTAAAAGAAGAAAAATGCTTTTACTATCTTTCATCTTCATTTTTTTTTTCTCTAAACGCTGAACTGAAAAGCTTTCATCTGTTGGAATAATAAGAAAATGGTTTCTATGGACGTTTTAGGAATGTGTTCTGAAAGGTTCCAGGTCCGTAGATGAAGACATTCCGATAGTTTCTCTCGTTTTATCTTGCACACACACACACACACACACACATATATATATATATATATATATATATATATATATATAGTTGTTATTGCGTATTATAGATACAAAGTTGCCATGTTAATGCTCTCGTTACTTGAAAGAAAATGTTCAGATTTATATCACGGTAAATGATAGCGTCTTGAATTAAGGAATCCGAGAGCCGTGTTCGAATTACAGTCGAGTTCATTACATTAAGATACGTTGGAAAAGATAGAAATTCATTTGTTCTAACCCCCCCCAAGCTATGGGTAAGTAGCAGGATAGTATGGATCCTATAGCCTTAGTTGGCCACCAGTTTAGAAGAAGAAAACTCTGAATTCAAACTAGACGTGTGTGAGTTGGATTCTCTCAGGCTGTATTGCACAGGAAACACCACTGCTGCTGTAGTGCATGTGGTACCCTAACGACACTCATGGGTTAAGCGATCCGTGATTGTGTGAGTGTGTGTATGACATGTTTGTGGCCGGTTAAAGTTATGTCCTCGATTTTATGGCACGCTTTGTATCTAGAGAAACTCCTAGAGAATGTAGTAAAGCAAAAGGAAAAAGAAAAACGGACTAAGCAATAATTTTAAGAGCAGACAATATACAGTTGTCAGAAGATGATGATGGCTACGAATTGCGCAATCCAGTAAGTTCAGCAGTGTTTTTTTTTTTTTATATATATTTTGGAATTATTTTAACATATGAAGGAAAGTATGACACTGAAATCCGCTGGACTATTCGAATAACAAATGATGATGTCTAAAAATCTAAACAACCTATTGAGTAACAATAAAATTTCCTTCGAAAAGAAGAAAACGGCGCTGAAATATGTAATAAAAAAAGCGAAATAAAATTGACAATTATACATAGAATCCGAAAGAGCCGACAGAATTATCTGTGTTATATAATAAGAAAATAAAAAACATAAATAAAATAATATATATATATATATATATATATATATATATATATATATATATATATATATATATATATATGTATGTATGCATGTATTAATAAATCGCCGAAAGAAAATATAAATACAATTAAAAGTATATGATGAGTAAAAAAATCTGGGAGATAAACTGAGAAAAATCTTGTAAAATTTGACCTTGATGGTACAGAAGATAAAAGGGACAGAAGAAAGATGGACAGAAGACAAATAGAAAAAAAGACAAAAGGGACAAAAGACAAGGGGACAGAAGAGAAAATGAACAGAAGACGAAATGGACAGAAGACAAAAGAGCAGAAATTAAAAGGGACAGAAAACAAAGTAATAGAAGACAAATGGATAGAAGGCAATACAGACAGAAGACAAGGGAACAAAAAACAAAATGGTCAGAAGACAATGTAAGAGAAGACAAATGGACAGAAGACATACGTAACAAAAGATAAAAGGACAGCAGACAAAAGAGACAGAAGACAAAGGCATAGAAGACAAAATAGACAGAAGACAAAGTAACAGAATACAAATGGACAGACGACAAAAGAACAGACGAGGATAGGGGCAGAAGACAAAGCAACAGAAGACAACTGACATACGATAAAAGCGACAGAAGAAAAATGGACAGAAGTCAATAGGAACAGAAGACAAATTAAAACAAGACAAATGGCCAGAAAACAAAAGGGACGGAAGATAAAGTAACAAAAGACAATTGTACAGAAGACAAAAGGTATAAAGAGATAAAAGACAAAGGGACAGATGACAAACAGCGGGTAATCTACCTAATGAGTGTGTGTAAATGTGTGGATAAACAATGAGTGGGGATGTAGAGCAAAAGGAAAAAATATTCCTAGGTGTTAGAGAAAACAGGAAGATTTGGAGATAGCTAAAATTTCATAACGTTGACTATTACGAAATAATTCACTACGTTTAATAATTCGCAAGGCTTTCTGTCATTTGTAAAATTAAATATGTCGAAGTGGAATCTCATTACGGCTCGACGTGTCACACATGAATACAACATCACCTTCCTCACAGTGAAACTCGTTTTATAAGCAAATCCTTACTTCACCTTTATTGTGTTCTTTTCATACGCTCAACTTTGATTATTCTTTTCATTGACATTAGTTTTTCTCCTTGACCGAAAAACACGGCTAAAATATTTTTATGAATGGGGAATACTTAAAATGAATAGAGATAATAATATTAAAAAGTAATTTAAGTAAGTAAAATAAGAAAAAACAAATGTATAATGTTGGCTAAATTATGCACGATGTTTTTAATAATGTCATCACAAGCAAGGTGATAATGTACCTTGGAGGCAAGTTATTACTGAAAGTGAAAGAGAATGAAAAAAAACTAGTGAAGAGAAAGGACACTGAAAGAACGTATCCAAAGTTGGCGATAAACGTTGCAATTAAATATTTGGATAATGTAGGGAAGAAAGAAACCGGAATAGATTTCCACAGGTTAGAAGTGCGAGGAAAGAAACCGAAAAAAGAATTTTCCACGGGTTAGAAGTGTGAGGAAAGAAACGGGAATAGATTTCCACAGGTTAGAAGTGCGAGGAAAGAAACCGAAAAAAGAGTTTTCCACAGGTTAGAAGTGCGAGGAAAGAAACCGAAAAAAGAGTTTTCCACAGGTTAGAAGTGCGAGGAAAGAAACCGAAAAAAGAGTTTTCCACAGGTTAGAAGTGTGAGAAAAGAAACCGGAATAGATTTCCACAGGTTAAAAGTGTGAGGAAAGAAAATGAAAAAAAGATTTTAAGAGGTAAGAAGTGCGTGTGAGGAAAGAAACCGAAAAAAGAGATTTCTACAGGTTAGAAGTGTGAGGAAATAAACCATTTGAACAAACTTTCGGGATATATCTATGACATTCAAGAGTAGAACGATGACACCTGTGTGCCAATCTAGTATTACGCTTAGAATCATGCAGTCAAAATAACCAGTACAAACATCCATTAAAACAAAGATATTTATAAAATGGAGAGAGTGAAGCCATATCATGGCTGTGGTAAATGACTGAATGACAGGTCGCAAAATTTAATTTAAACTAAACGTCAGTGTTCCTCTATGTATAATTTAAATCGAAATTTATTGCATTTTATCTCCGTACAATATAAAAGACTGCGTCGATAAAAGCAATACTAGCCAGGAGAAATCCTTTCCAGGGACGAAACGTGTGACATTGTATTTCTATCAAAGTAAAAGATTTCGTAAATCTTCTTCAAATGTCTTTGTTAGATTGTTAATCCGTACATTCAATCTCGTGGTCACATGAAATACGATCGATAATCATACAACCAAATGGCTAATCCGCCTTGGTTCTCGTAAAATGAAGATCGGAGTCAAGGTCTTTCACCTTTAATTGGAACTCAACGTTCATTGTTTCCCACAGAATAAAGTGGATTCAATCTCGCAGCAATGCAGTAGCAGAAGACATTACATAAAAGCGGTTACATGTAGATAAAAATAATTAACCGCTACGATTTCAAATATCCCTAGGAATGAGAAGGAACCTGAGAAAATGTAAAGGATGAGGGGCAAATACCAAAACTGTAAGAAGTAACCGATTTCCTTTAAAATTGGACAAAGGAAGACAAAATTAGATTTTGAAACAAATTCAGGATTATAATTTTTCTGTATCTGTCTATATTTCTGAGACGAGGTAGTATTGGAATGTGGAACTTAACCCTTTATTTCGCTCACTGGGATAGATTGTTCTAGTTTCACGTGCCATGTCTAATGGCTGTCAGTTATCAGTTATCTCCTGTTAATTTCCCTCTAAAAGTTCTTTACTGCCTTTACCAGGTATTGAACTCACACTCTTTGGGTCCTGTCACTGGATCTAACTAACGCCTTTATCCATTGTGCCATGGGTCCTCGAGGAGATAACTGATAACTGACATCCATTTAACATGGCACGTGGAACTAGAACATTCTACCCCAGTGAGCGAATTAAAGAGTTCAGTTCGACATTCGAACCACCTGAAAAAGGACGGAGCGTACAAAATCTCTTGTTAATTCCACTCTCCAAGTTCTCCACTGCCTTAACTGAGTATTTTTCAAGGACACACGGCACAGTGGATAAAGGCGTTGGTTAGATCAAGTGACAGGATCCAAACAGTGTGAGTTCAATACCCGCTTAAGATAATGGAGAACTTGGAGATAACTGATAACTGACATCCTTTAAAACATGGCACGTGGAACTAGAACAGTCTACACCAATGAACGAAATAAAGGTTTCAGTTCGACATTCCAAACACCTGAAGAAGGCCGGAGCGTACAACGGCCGAAACGTCGTAATAAATATGGCGACAAAGATGAGGTCAATAGTCTAAATAATGTAAATAATGTACATAATACCTCATCTCAGAAATATAGAGAGATAATATAAATTCTGTTCAGAATTAGAAATAGCTTTATTGTTTTGGATTTCTTCCTTAAAAGGCCATATAAAAATGAAATATTATATTTATTACAACTTTCAAATAAAGGAAATATTTAGAAATTTATTCTTAATATTTTTTTTAATTAGAGTAATTTTAAATTTTTGTAAGCCTATACTATTTTCCAGAATAAAGAGACAAACAAACAGAAAAACGTAATGCATCAACAGGTGAAGATGATTTATCGAAAAATATTTTCCTATCACTTCAAATAAAATTTTTAAAAAGACACGAATTCCTAAGTTTTACATGAAAAACATTCCTTTTTTTTTGCATAGCAGTGTGCCTGTGGGGCGGTATCTATAATCAGGCGTTAAATGGAACATCGCCAAGTTATCGAATATTTTCGGTTGAACGCAAATAGAAACTTCAGAATAAGACGAACATCACTTTCAAAAAATAGAGACACTTGGGGATATAGAAAAAAGTGCATCTTCCCAAAAGCGCCTGATCAGCATGGATAGAAAACCTCCTTGAAAAAAAGCTCCTACCTTTAAAGATGAAGGAAAAGTAGCAGCAATTAAAGATAAAAGACATATTAGATTATTGCAAAGGTTCGCTTCCGATCAGAAAAGTAAACATAGCATGTTACATACCCATAAATATTATTTATTTATTTATTAGTCAAGTATACCATCTACATTGTTTTTAAAAACTGTCATACTTCTATAAAATTCTTGATGACATTTTCTTAGAGACAGTATGATTTTTGGTGAATGAATATTGAAAGCTTGATTTCGTTTGGCTGTAAAGAGTCGAATTATTTGCCATTTAAATTGTTCTGCAGGTACCAGGACAAACGGAAAACAAAGAATCCAATTCAGAAGAATACGGTGCTAGAGGTTTTCACATTTCAACAATTTAAAGTCCTGCAAGGTCTCTTTTGTGACGTGATGTCTTGTGTTGTCGTGTTGAAATATGGCATATTTTCGATTTGACAAAATCAGCAATTTTTCTTGAAATCAATAGCAGACGGTAGTTGAGATATAGATTTTTAACACTTAGGCATCACTTCCGTCAAAATCTTTGGTTTATTTTCTACAATAGAAAGCACAGCGATGTCGGAAGTCGACCGATGGAACATTTTGGTTAAAATCCCCGACACGAAATGTCCTAAATCACTTTTTAATAGGCCAAAGAACTGGAGCACAATATATAGATAAAACTTCTGAATGTGTGTTTGGCAGTTCCGACGAAATTCATAGAGTATGATATGAAACTTCTTATTCTCCATATTTAAAGCATTTGTTTATGGAGAAAAATGTTTACATTCAAATAAAGTTATGGTCATTTTGTCTGAAGAAGGAAAATCAGATATGAACATTGACTAAGATTTGATAGAAATAAAAATATTTTCTAAGTTGGTAAATATAATCTCATATTTAACTCATACTTCCGTATTTTCTTTTTTAAATCATTTCATCCAAAACAAGGCAACGTCACGCATCTAGTTACTGAGTGTGAAATAACATAAGATAAACATTATTAATAAGCTATAACAAAAGAGATTTTTCACAGGTTAGAAGTGTGAGGCAATAAACCGGAAGAGATTTCCACACGTTAGAAGTGTGAGGAAAGACACTGGAAGAGATTTCCACAGGTTAGAAGTGTGAGGAAAGAAACTGCAAGAGATTTCCACAGGTCAGAAGTGTGAGGAAAGAAACCGGAATAGCGATAACAATAAAAGAACAGAAATTAAGGAGATATAAGATAACGATTGACATTACATTTAAATTTTTGAAAATCAAAATAGATCCGTCCTGATTTGACTATAATCTACACACTCGCCCTGGGTAAGACGATAAAAAAGGCCTCTGATGCGGATATTTTGAGGGACGTGGAATCACCTCTTAATTGCTGGTGTTCCAAAGGCATACCGTGACACAGTGTGGTAGCACCTGTTATGATCCCAGCTATAGGATCAAAACGCTATGAAAGTTTAAAATTGTTTCAATACAAGCAATGGATTTTTGAGGAAAAAATATTACCAGCGATACATTATTACCAGCAATACATTTTTAAAAACAAATATTACCAGCAACACATTTAAAAAGAAAAGAAAAAAAATATTACCAGCAATAGATTTTTGAAAAAAAAAAAAACTATATTAAAAGGAATACATTTTTGAAGAAAAATATTACCAGTAAAACAAATCTTGTCGGCATTAAATAACCCATTGATGTTGATATGCTGTGAATCAAAACAAACCAATCAGACTTGAATGGATCGCAAGAAAACGTAAGAGAGTTCCAAAAGCGAAAAAATTCGATAGAATAAATAACTGTTATCATATAACTTACAGTTACATCTAGTTATTTCATCTGTAAAATAAGGAAATTTGCCGGCGGTCTAATACTTCACTTAAATTACTAGAGACTAGTTACATTAGAAAAAGAGTTCATTAGAATAATTGCCATGAAAGTATTTATAGAAGAGACACAGGGAATCTACATTAAGTAGATAAATTCGGACAAGAAAAAATTGCCTAGCACGAAATATAGCAGTATAATTTCCGAGCAACAGGCATAGCAATTGATTCGATATAACATTTTCAAATCCTGTCAAGTGAAAATGTTAACCCGATAAGGCATAAATAGTTTGAAAATCATGAAGGTTTAAAGTAAAAAAAACTTCGCTGAACCTAACTCTCAAGTATGATAATGGCTGCATTATACCGTGTGTCTCATCTTACTTATCAGAAAACGCAGATTTTCTGACCATGAAATCAAAAATTTGTTTCATCGAATTGCATTTCGTAATGCCTACAAGATAAAAAGATAGATTTAATCAACCTGTATAATATCAGAGGTGGACGGGTGTGGGTTAAAGAAAAAACAACAGCATACATACAACTTTAAAAATAAAATGAAAAATATAAACGAGATTTTTCTCCATCAGGAAAAAAAAAAAGGAACATTATAAACTGACTCCAAAATTCCAAAACGAGTCTCTTACTCCATTGCTGGAATCAAATGTCAGTTTAAGACCAGACAGGTCTATACCTAGACATGTGGACAAAATGGAAGAGGTAAGGACAAACACGTACCATAACTACATCTAAAGCACAGTTAACATAACCCCTGCTTACATGAAAAAAAGAAAAGAGAGAAAAAAAAAACGCTTATTTAGCTGTTTTGTAATTTTCCGTTGTAATAAAAAAATATAGACCAGACCATAAGACTTTCATAAAGGGAGATAAACTATTGCTTAACACATTGAAAATATTACATTCTTCAGTCTTCGCATAGATTGAGAAGATTAATACAATATTAACTATTAAACTATTCTTGTTCATTCGAATAAATGTTAATTTATTGTTACATCAAGACGCACGATGGCGAATTTTGTCTCTTCCTTGATGCTGTGGTTTATAATACAGAAACGTTATATTGATTCAATCAGTGTCAAGTAAGCTGCACGGTTTAAACATAATTACATTCTGTAAACACGATCTATGAAAGTAAATCACTGATTAAGTAAATCCTTGATCAAGATATATTGAGGTAAAGCACAAACCTAATTCAAATATACGAAAGTACAGCACTGATCACGATATATGAAAGTACAGAACCGATTTATATATATATATATATATATATATACGGCTAATAATGCAAGACCCTTCGGCAAATAGAATCGAGTTCTCTGAATGACTGTGTGATAATTCAAAAATAAATACGCTTAAATTCACCTTCATCCCTGCGGTGCGCTAACAGCTTAGTGGTAGAATCCCGGACTGGCGCGAATTCAGTTGGCTTTTGAATCTGGCTGATGAGCTGTGATACAGCGAAACAGTCTGTCAGTGCATATGTGTGTGTGTGTTTGTGTGTGTCTGTGTGTGCAAATATATAGAAAAATAGGAAAGAACATGTTAGCTAAATAATCCGAAGTTCTTTAGTAATTTTTCTTTTTTTTAAAAAAAAAAACAGTGCTCAATACAAAAGTAGAGCCTATATTATAATTATATTTTTTTAAAATATGATTTTTTGCTACATAAGAGTTCTCGTGTTTTGAAAAAAATATCAGCCAAAACTTCAATATAATTATTAAAATTATATTGAATTAAACAGAACTTGATACTTTAACTCAATTTAATTTTAATAATTATATTGAAGTTTTTAGCTCCTGCTTTTAAAACTTGAGAACTCTTATGTATGAAGGAATCTTTTAAAAAATAATTATAATCTTGAGATATATATATATATATATATATATATATATATATATTTATTTAAAAAAGGTAATCCGGAGGGTAAACCTAAGGAGGATAAAATATATATATATATATATATATATATATATATATATATATATATATATATATAAAGAGAGAGAGAGAGAGAGAGAGAGAGACAGGTAGATATTCCTTTTAGAATTATATATATATATATATATATATATATATATATATATAAGTATAAAAGACATTAATTTGCAATAATTTTATGAAAAAATTTTTTACACATAAGGGCTCTGAAATAAAATATTTCTGCAACTATTTAGTTTGAAACCAGAATCAACAGAAACATTCTCCAGAATTAAACCATTCTATAGATACGCACGTACAACTCTGGTCAACTATCCACTATCCAATATTTACATATATATTTTTAGACAGATACAGTAACGTATACCAAATCAGTGGAAGAAATATTGGCCTCTCTGCAGCCTTTCATTGAATGGCAGAGGACGTGTAAGCACAAACAAAAACAAGATTGAGTCCTTTGCTCATCAATAAAATGGTTGTCCACCTCCAGAGCCGTTCACTTCAGCTCGCTGAGCGGAGAAGTGCCCGAAGCAGTTGTCTATTTTCATTCTACACGCCTCAGCTCGCCTGCTCGAAATCAGAAAACAGTGGAGGTAAGCCTCTTGAAATCAACACAGATCAGGCGCCAACCGAAAACAGAATTTTGACTTGCCAGTTCATCTTTGGCGACTCGTATTGATTTGGGCAAGGTTCAATTGGAGAGGAGAATTTCTGATCAGTCGGAAGCGAAAAGAAAGAAGAGAACAGGGAGGGAGGGATGGAAATGGAATAAAAAATTGTTGGATATAAGTGAACAATGCCTAAAGAAAGAGAAAGAGGAAAAAGATAGATCTAACAACATAAAAGTGAATCAGAAAAAAGGTAACAGATATATAAAAAGGGAACGAATGTAGGCGACCAAAAATAAGAAAATGGCCAGAATGTTATAAAAGGGAGAGACGTGTTTGCGAAAATAAATATCGTAAGTGAAAAACCTGTGAATAAAAATAATAAAAATATATTAAAAAAATGATACAAACGCAAGTGAACAAAAAAAGGAATATGTCGAAATATGAGTTTAAGTAAAAAAGAAAAAAAAATATCAT